ATATCGGGCCTCTCGTGCTTATTTCCGGGTGACTTCAGTGAGTCTGGATTCTCTTGAACAGCATTCTAACGCAGCTTCATTTGTGAACCACCGGATGGTTGCTGTAAAACACTGGAAGCTGTATGGTGTTCGTCGCCTTCCTGCAAACCTTTTTTTTCTATTTCGCCTTTGGAAGATCCCATGACGAATATATCAAGGAAAGGTAGCTGCTGATCCTTTTCTTCTTCCTTCGTGAATTGTATGTTTGGGAAGATCGAGCTAACATGATTATGAAAATTCTGCAACGTGTTCCTTTTGACGATACCAAAGGTGTCGTCAACGTAACGGCGCCAAAATATCGGGGGCTCTTGGGTGAAAGCAATATTTTCCAGTTCTTTTAGGCCTCATTCTGCTACTAAGCCGGCGATCGGGGAGCCCATCGGAGTTCCCTTGATCTCTTCATAAGTCGCTCCTGCAAAGTTGAAGTATGTCTTTTGGCAAAATTTGAACAGCCTGAGATGCTCAATTTTGAGCGAAATCTGAGTTTCGTCGTACGGCACCTCGAGCTTCCTGCGCAAGACGTCACGTGGAAAACCAAGTGGAATGGATATGAATAATGATTTCACGTCAAAGAAAACCATCATTTCGTCCGATTTAATTCTTTGACCATGGAGGTCTCTCAGGAATTTTGAGGCTGAGCGGACTGAGGTATCAGAGTTTTCTTGGAGGAAATTAAAGTCCGAGTACATCCATTTTGCCAAATTATGGTGGGGCTGCCTTTTAGGACGACGACTGGCCGCAGTGGGAAGTTTGGTGTATGGATCATTGACAGACCAAAAAAGCGAGCCAGAGTACTATCTGTTGGTTTCATTAGGCTCCGTTCATTCTCAGTAATCACGTTCCGGCGTTTGGATTCTCCAAGTAATTTATTTAACTGATTTGCTAATGCCTTTGATCTAAGTTTTTTGCTGGTCTGCAGAAGTCTCTAAAATTACTAAAATTATTAAAATTACGCGCCGGAGCTCCATCACCATGAAAGCAGAAAAGGCATTATTCAGCCAATGAATTATTCGCATATTTCTTAGCTTTGAAGGACACGCATCGTACGATTTATCAGAAAGTCGCTTACGGATTTCTCCTTTTTACCGAATGCAACCGAAGCGTGACCAATGTCTGTTCGCTAAAGCAAATGAGAACGACGGATAATGATACTTGTTCAAATTATAGTGTGGTCTATATTGGCAAGAAATGCACTCTTTCTATAATAAACAGGCTAAGCTTTTTACAGAACTGTCTCAGTCCGTAATAGAAAGGAATCAGCAATTCAAAGCAACCTTCTGTATCTGGCTTGTCTCAAGGTCTATGAAATACCGCTGCAACTTTAAAAGGAAGAGGGTCGGGAAGGTGGCACAACGCTTTCGAAAAAGCTCTACATACCATTTGGCCTTCGAAATGTAACCAACACTTCAAAAATATAACCACATTAGAGAAGCCCGCCTTCAAAATAATAATAGTTGCTTGCATTCCCACTCGTGATTTTGCAATTCTGTATGTGTTTACGTAATTGTGACAAATTTTATTATACGGAACTTATTTAAATGTGCCAAAACTGCCCCCACGATGAATTGCAATAAACATATGCAGTGTCAGGTTTACTGCAATCAAGACTGAAGAATTTACCAAGACTTTCCCTTTTTATCTAGAGAAGGGTTATTAGTCTCGTCTATCAAATAGGTTTTCGGCAAGAATAAGCTGTGGAACTGGACCCAGTTTAATATACATAACCAAATACTATATGCGTTGTATTAGGCGTAACTCATAGTAATTTGAAGTCACTTATGTCAAGAAGGAAACGAGTGAAGGAAGGACAGAGCCCTAAAGTTGCTAAACTAACGACTTAACGGTCGATCAGTGTTTCCTTTTGTCTCTAGTGCTCTCCTCGACACATTAAACCTCTGCTATCCATTATTGAGAAATGCTGATGAAACTAAAAAAGCAGAATTTGTTGTGAGTGACTGGATTCTGTGTATCAGGCCTTTTTAGATCTGTTTCACGGGATTGACTTTCGGCGATCGTCAGGACAGGCCGGAAAGGAGGGTACAAAATTCTTTCTAAAGTGATTTTAAATGTTACTTTCTTTCATAGGGAAATTATAGTTTTGATAGGTCATTGCACCGCCCTAGTGATCCGTGGCGATGAGTATCTCTCTATAATTGCTCGCTGTCTCCTAACACTGCGTTGATCAGTAACTGCCTTGCATTAACTGAAGACATGCTGTTGACTTTCATTGAGCTTGCAGCGACGACCGGGTATGTTGCCCAATGAAAACTAAGGGAAGTCAAGCCCCTATTATACAGAAACGACGATACCGGGTGGCTAAAGGAAATGAACAGGTAATTACTCTTAGGAAACGAAAGTAACAAATTGTGTTTATGTCGTCAGCTTAATCCAGTACAAGAATAAAAGTGGAAAACACGAACGCGCATTTTGAAATTGAGTAAATTGGGAGCAATGCGTAGCCGGAACAAATGGAAGCCAAAGGCAAGTGTAAGATACACAAAACTATCTGATTCTAGCTTGTGCTGACTGATCCCATTGAAGGGAAAAGTGTGAAGAATACAATCGTAAGTGCGACTCTCATGAGGGCCGCAATTGAAGAGGTAATTGAGGTTGGAAACATTAATAGCCGCGTCGCTAAGTCCTACTCCGGAACCTCTGTCTATGGTCTGCTTTTAAAGTTAACGCATAACCTCTGATTCTAAATCTAACCCTATTAGTAACACTTGACGGGAAAGAGCGAAAGGAATGGGAGGGTTAACGTAAGGCTACGAACTGGCCTTAGTAGGCATTTTATAGAAATACAGACCAGGAGGGGCTACATACCCCACCTTCAACGGGCAGACTTATGTTTAAAAAAAGCGTTAAAATATTCGTGGAAGTAGAGGTAACGACGACGATGTTGATCTTCCTTATGCCAGTGTGATATAAAATCCTCTAAACTATCTTCACTTTGTCTATTATTCACGGTAGGTGAATAAGTTGGTGAGAATCGTACAAATAAAGTTATCAACCTTTGTGATACAGAAAACCCCAGAAATGTTAAACGGGAATCCGACGCCGGATTCTGAATTAAGCTCTTACCAAAATGTTCTAGATCTTGTAAAAAATGACCATTGGAAGCGATGAATTGAGTCATGCCCTTGGAAAGAAGCATCACGCGTAAACGAAGTAGTCTATACACAATATCCGCATACGATACTCGTCAGCACTATCCTGAAAAGGGATGACAGAGTGCCTTTTTCGACTACTCCTTAGTGTTATACCTAAAACCTTTGATACCCTATCATCCAAGAGCTCAGGCGACCGAGAACTCGATATTATTCGCTGGTAAAAAAGTATGTGAAACGCCAAGCTGAAGTATAAGGATAATACCTCATCAAGCAGCACGCGTTTGGTGTCAAAACATCGAAAAAGTTGCAACACTGACTGACAGTCTTATTACATGTAACTTATGAGAGTGTAATATGCTGACCGCCCCAATAAAATTTTGCTTCTGCGCTAATGGATTTACACCAGTAATCGTGATACCAGCGTCGATTAAAAGGACTTTCATGTCAGTTTGTAAAGTATATTATTCCTTTTCGGCTTCAGACTGATGAAGATGTACGTTTTGTCTGAGATCTCAAAACCCTAGGAATATAAATTTCTATTTTTTAAAAATAAATAGAGTCCACTTAAAGAGACTTAACGCTTCAATGAAACACAGACTTCGGGTGTCAGTCAAACATAAATGTTATTTTGGCACAAGTACACTACACACTTGATAGGAGTGCGGATCAATACTTAACATTAGAAGTGAATGGAGCGGAGGTTTGTGCCTGACAAAGACCCCATGATGTATTGCGACACTTTTGAAGATACGCCTTTGAAGGTCAATACCTGAACTGAATCTCTGTACTTTAAAAAAGATACCGAGCGCAGTTGCGCGCAACGTGTATGTGAAAGCTATCTTATAG